GTCCCTCCTCCACCACCACCTCCAATGTATGGAGCCCCAACACCACCCCCTCCCCCATCTTATGGAGCCCCACCACCACCACCTCCTCCAGGGCGTGGAGCTCCGCGCCCTCCACCTCCTCCTATAGGTCGAGCACCACCACCACCTCCTCCTATTGGTGGTGGGCCTCCTCCCCCACCTCCTCCACATGGAGCACCTGCTCCACCGCCACCTCCTGGAGGTCGTGTTCCTGGCCCTCCTGCTCCACCCGGGCTTGGCCCTCCTGCTCCGCCTGGGCCTGGCCCTCCAGGTGGTGTACCACCTCCTCCTGGAAGAGGTCTGGCTGGAGGAAGAGGGCGTGGTACTTTACGTGGGGCAGCTGGTACAGCACCTCGAAGGTCTTCCTTAAAGCCTTTGCACTGGAGCAAGGTAACAAAGGCATTACAAGGAAGCTTATGGGATGAATTGCAAAGACATGGAGAGCCTCAAATGTATTTTATCTTCTCTTACAGATCTATTTCCTACTTCTTGTTACACTCTTATTATTTCTTCCAACTCTGTTAATTCATTGGCTCAGATTACTCTTTTGCTTTCTGGTATCCTTTAATAATTGCTGATTTTTACTTTTTCCTGTAGTGCGCCAGAATTTGATGTTTCAGAGATTGAGACTCTTTTCTCTGCAATTGTTCCAAAACCTGCTGACAAAGGGGATAAATCACGTCGGAAATCAGCTGGATCAAAAACAGACAAAGTCCATCTGGTAATTTGAAAGTTCAAAGATCATGTATTTAATGATACATTATTTCGCTTTTTCTTATTAATGTTAATTTTTGGCATCTTCAGATCAAAACAACTTTATTGGTTTTCTGTGATTCAAGACTTCTAGTTAGTGAACTGTTTCTTGCCTTGGTTGGTTAGATACTTTCAAGCTTCGGTTTGCCTATGAAGAAATTAGAGTTATCAGAACATGCATCAGTTAAATAGTTCATAATTTAAGCATAAAATGCAAGGACTTTATATCATCAAAGAAAAAGTCATCATATATCTTTCATGCTTTTACAAGTTAGTGAGAATTGAATCCTTTTCTAAGTCTTGGGGTTTTCCACCAGAGCAATGACACACACACGTTTGTATGTCCATATTTATGTATATCCTTTTGACGTACAGTCTTGATCTTTTCCTTATTTGTCTCTTTGGAATTATACTCTTACCCAACTAAATGTCTTTCTCAAAATTTATCGACTGACTTTTTGTGTTTATTGTAAACCTTTTTGTTTATAATACACCATTCCTTCTAGAGTGGTACTGATTCCCCCCTTGTGTTTCTTCCATTATTAGTAGTGAATTTGTTGCCTTTTATTGTAGATTGACTTGAGGAGGGCAAATAACACTGAAATTATGCTCACTAAAGTTAAGATGCCTCTCTCAGATATGATGGTAAGATGGCTATGATAATCATTCTTGCATTTGTTACTGCTTTTACCCAAATTGCAGAAGTGTATTGCTTTTCTTTTGGTTATATAGTTATGGGGTTCTTTAATTCGGTTGTCAACTTTAAGTATGAGGATGATGAAATCATATGTATAATGGTATAGTTATGTGGATTTTCTCAGGCTGCAGTGCTGGCAATGGATGAGTCAGTGTTAGATGTTGATCAAGTAGAAAATCTCATAAAGTTTTGTCCTACCAAAGAGGAGATGGAACTTCTAAAGGTGAAGCTTTGACAAATTTAAAGTTTGTGTTATGTTAAATACACTATTGTGTTTTATGTTGTTGATATTGAATCTTGCAGAGATCTTACAAATCCCTTCTTGTGCTTCAACTTATATCTTCTTTCTTGTTTTTTCTTTTTTTTTTTTTTTTTTAGAACTACACTGGTGACAAGGAGAACCTGGGAAAGTGCGAACAGGTCTGCAATTATATTCTAACCATTACTTATGAAATTGAAGATTGAGAACTTTGTTAAGTTGCTGATCTTGGGTTTCTTCAATTTTAACTTTTACTTACCAGAAAAAGCTACATGCAATGGTGCAAGTTTTACCCATAAAGTAAAAAAATTGTTGTATTATAATATTATTCCATGCTAGACCTGGAAAATGGGTTATTTTATGATAGGTGAACTTTGTGTGGCAATGGTAAAATTTGAAAGGCTATCTGAAATATAGATACTGTTTCTATGATGAAGCATGTTCAAGTCTATCTGGATTGGTAAATAGTGGTATGTGTTAGAGTAAAGAAGGAAGATGAAAAAGTAATAACAGAAACTGTATATGACAATCTCAATGCGTTTGCAACATGTTCGGTGATCTAGGATCAGAATCTGGGTGCTTAGCGGAAAAAGTATACAATGAATAGTCTTTGCAACATGCTAGATATTTAATGGCATAATTAGGGTTCAGAAGAAGCACTGTTCAGTCTTTGACATGATTAATTTAAAACAACACTTAAGCCTTTTTTGGTGAGAGGTATACATTTGCTTACACCAAATCTAGGTAGACAAGTTGAGGTGGGGTTAGTGAATTCTAGGTGATTCAAAGCTTCTTGTGATCTATTAAATATTCAGTAGGCTTTGAGTATGATTTTATTGGAAACTTTTAATTGTTTACCCCATTTCTTCTTTTGTAAAGCTAATTGAAGTCCATTTTCTTCATTTCCACTTTGTCTTTACTTCAATTTGACTACCTTTTATAATTTCACTTGTTTTCTGCTTTATTGCATTTCAAAAGAGGATAACTCACTTGAGGTTCATGGCTTGAAAATGTATTTAAGATTGAGGGCCTGAACCTTCTGTATTTTCCCTTTCCAATAATTGCAAAAGCTTTTGGTATATGTGTTGGACTATTAAGTATCCTGCAGTTCATTCCCCAAAAAGAACAACATTTTACAAACAATTTCATTGTGAGACTATCCATCACCACTAGCAAGAAACTGGTTTGGTGGACTGTAATTGTATAATTACCCTTTGTAGTAAAAAAAAGGTCCTTGTCAAGTCAGATTTAGGAGACTGGATTCTGAGCTTCCCAGACGACTGAAGATTGCTGAATTTTCATATTTTTTGTTATCAATGCTGTGAAATAAAGAACAAAATAAATGTCAACTATAATGTTATAACATAATAGATAAGATGCCATGATTTTTTGTTTTATTGAAGAAATGCTACAATTGACCTAGCATGTAACTGATTACATCTTTCCTTGGATATTTGGATATAACAATGTTTAAAAGCTTATTTAGCTCATGGTTTTTATGTTCAGTTTTTTTTGGAGCTGATGAAAGTGCCACGAGTAGAGTCCAAGTTAAGAGTATTTGCATTCAAGATTCAGTTCGGTTCTCAGGTTTGGTGGTATCTGCATAGTTAGTCTGGTTTTGATAAATTTAGACTTTTTTTTTCTTTTTATAATCAAATAGTCTCTTGCCTTGGTTATTCTTGGTTGCCTAGCATGCATAGCCTTAACTTACATCCTACTGCTGTCGCAGGTAGCAGAATTTAAAAGGAGCTTGAATATTGTAAATTCTGCTTGTAATGAGGTATGCTATTAATAACTATTTAACTTAAAATATGGATTTTATGGATCACTTTTCGTCTTACTCTTTGTTGGTTATTTAGGTCCGAAATTCTGAGAAGTTGAAGGCTATCATGGCAAAGATTCTTTATCTTGGGAATACCCTGAACCAAGGAACCGTAAGGGGTAAGCAAACTTGTATATGGTTTTCTTTTTTTATCTTTATTTCACTTGCTGATGGCCATCATGGTAGATGAGATTGCCCATTATTGAAGCATCTTTTAAAATGTTCTTTACATAAGAAATCTAGCAGTGAAATGCATGAGTTGTGACAGTTGTCATTGCTTTGATGTTTTGGGTTAATTGATGTAGGTGGGTTGAGTTAAACTTTGTGAGCAACATTTTTATGTGAAAGTGTGGACTACTCAAGTCAATGATCTATATATACTGCATATTGCACAATGTATTTAGAAGTGTATCCGTGGTTTTGATCATTCTATTTTAGATACTTTTTAAGAGTTAAACAACCTTTTGTACCAACTTTACATCTGTGGAGACGTTAGAGAAGAGTAGGAAAAATATTCTGAGTTCTTATATTACTTATTATTTTTCCTTTAGTGTTATGGATGGCAAGATAATTTGTTGAGTCCAGGAGCCCAGCGTGTTCTTTACTTTATTGATAACTGCTGTATTCATTCAGCATTTTAAGATAGTGTTAAAGCAACATGATATTTGAAAGATGTGTTCAGTACCAGTCACAAGGACTTTTGCCTGCTTTGGTGGGGGGAAATCATTGATGGCTTCTAAGAGGGTTTAAGTTGGTCTTTTTAATGTGCAAGCTTTATGTCCGTTATTAACCATTTCCCAAATGATGCATGCATCAATTGTCCATCCTTTTTATACTCTAGCAGATCCATGTTTGTCTCATATCTCAATTTAATGAAATATGTTCTATTTCTGCCCCAATGTATGATATGAATCTTGAAATGGTTCTGACATATACAGGTGCTGCCATTGGGTTTAAGTTGGACAGTCTTCTAAAGCTCACTGATACGCGTGCTTCTAACAGTAAAATGACACTCATGCATTATCTTTGTAAGGTATGGATGTTATTCTCCTTTCATGTGGCTGCTGTTAAACTGAATTTGTTTCAGACAAATAACTGGATCTGCCAGGATTTGTGTTCTGCCTATAGTTTGTTTGTTGCATTTCAGCCTGGAATTGGTTTTCCAATTCAAACAGCAACCATCGTTTTACATTGTATCTCTAACTCTCTCTCTTGTTGCGCAGGGCCTTGCTACCAAGTCACCAGCACTTTTGGATTTTCACCTGGATCTTGTCAGCCTTGAGGCTGCATCTAAGGTCTGAGTCTGTCTATTAGAGTTTGTAAATGATAGTCTTTTTAAACTATTTATAGATTATAATCTTTTATCAATGCAGATACAATTGAAATCTTTAGCCGAAGAAATGCAAGCTATAATCAAGGGATTAGAAAAGGTCAAGCAGGAGCTGGTTGCTTCCGAAAGTGATGGTCCTGTGTCAGAAGTATTTCATAAGGTACATATTCATTGCAATAAATATGGTTTCACATTGTTAACTGTAATCATATATGCAATGTTAACTGTAATTTACTGCATCAAGGATCTAAGCTTTATCTATTATTTTAATGGATATTCCATTGATTGGGTAGGCAGAGGCATGGTGATCCAATTAGTCATTTGTTTGTTTTTTTGATTCTGCTTTTGAACTTGTATTCATTTTTCTTTTTGGAAAAAATGTATGATTATTTATTTATTTTGTTTATACTTATTTCAAATCAAAATCTGGAAGATTATCTTCATGGCAGATTGTTATATGTTACAGTATTCTGCGTGTAAGAAAATGTGAGCTAAGTGTAGTTTTTGTTGGAGTTGCTGAATGGTAAACATGATAGTTCACTTAAAAGTTTGGGGCACTATGAAAACCAGAGTAGGAAAGATTTATATAGAATATGGATGCTTCAGGTGTGGGTGATTGTTAGGAATGACTAGCTAGGATTAGAAGGTTTACAACTTCCAGATAGCTGTTATACTCTGGTAATGAACTTCTTATATGTTGATTAAATTCATGTCTTTTATCTGAGTGGAATTCTGGATTACCCTTTTATTTTTAATCAAATTCTTCTGTTAGGAGAAGCAAGATGTTATTTAAAGGTGAAGATTTTTTAGATTGTTGAATGATTCCTTTGTTGAATCAATGTAGCTTGCATTTCTTTGGAGTAGATTGATTCGTATAGAATGGAGGACTGATAATGATATTTAGTATTTACTCATCTTACTGCTCCATTACAAAACCTTTCCAAGTCATGGCATTATGATCTGCATAAGATGATTAGAAATTGCAATTTTATACGTCAGTCAAGCCATGATTATACTGTATGGTATCTTTAAATTTTGCAGACTTTTGTAATATTTTAATTTCCCTAATGATTTAATTTTCTTTTTTTACTTTGATACATAGACCTTAAAAGATTTTATTTTGGTTGCTGGGTCAGAGGAAGCATCTTTAACAAACCTATACTCTGTGGTGGTAATCTGCTGAACTTTAGCTTTAATGGAGAATTTACTATGTTTTTGATAATATGATCTTACGATCCAGTCTTTGATATACTATTTTTCCTGGTGGACAGGGTAGGAACGCAGATGCACTTGCACTATATTTTGGTGAGGATCCTGCTCGTTGCCCATTTGAGCAAGGTACATTGTGGATATTACAGCTTTCCTGTTGCTGTCCTTATGTGCTAAGCCACATGTTTGATCTAATACATGCATTTTACTTTACCTTTTCCTGTCTTTATCCTCCAACCCTACCTCCACTCTCCTTTACTCATTCTATGAATCATGTAGTTTCTGAATACTCAACCTATTCTGCAAGGGAATTCTTTTTGAATGGAAAAAAATGGTTCAAAAGGAACATCTAGAGGGAAGAGGGATAAAGAATGGAATATCTAAACAAGCATCCAAGCAGTTGTGCCCATCTGGAGAAGGATGTTGACAAATTGAATCTAGAGTCATATGCTTTCTTAAAATGATTGAACTGAAGTTAACAGAAGTTAATGGAGTATTAAAAAGGATGAGATGCGAAAAAGGTTAAGCAGACAAGAAAGAAGATAGGAAATATGATTTTCTAATAATATCGTAATTAAGATGCTTTACTAGTTATATTCATTAAATATAGTTAACATCTTGAATAATTTCTTTGTTTCATGTGGCAATTCCAAAGCTGAATTGATAATGCCTAATGTTGTATTGAACACTGCAGTTACCGCAACTCTCTTAATTTTTGTGAAAATGTTTCGAAAAGCACATGAAGAGAATTTGAAGCAGGCTGAATTGGACAAGAAGAAAGCTGAGAAGGATGCTGAAATGCAGAAGGCTAAGGGAACTAACCCTAGGAAGAAGACTGAGGTGGCTGAGGATTGATTTCTTTCTATTCCTGCAAAGGAATAAGCTTCTTGCTTGCAGCAACATCTGCCGCAATATTTTTTGTTGAAAGGCGGCAAATGCTGCTTTTGAGACCTGCTCGGGTGCCTCCTGCTTCTCTTGTTGTCGCTCTGGTAAGACTTTAAAGGTGATGTGAATGAGGAAAAGAGCAAGTCCTGAACGCTTGCAGTTGCAGACAGTGGACTAAACATAATGCTTCACAATGTATATCTGGACTGCGCGATGCAAAATACAATGATTATGGTCAGACAGCTTTTTCAACAGTAGATTTCAGACAGGCCAAATGTTTAAGCATGGTGTGGTTATAGATCATTCTCTGAGCAGCACTGGTTCTGAGCTTAATCTACCAAGATGAATGATCTGTCCCTCCCAGCATCATTCTGAACATAGTATACCAGGTTATGTCAGTTGCAGTTTTTGTCATTCATTGCATGATTTTTTCAGCAGCAGAGCAGATGCTAAAGGGATTGTAAAGCAAGAAGAGTCCCACTGTACCATGAAAAACATGTACAAAGCTCTAACCCCCCGCTTACATTAGAGTGCAATTCTTTCTTGTAACATACTTGTTTTCCCATGTCACGAAAAGTAGTCCATTACTATGGAGATTGTATAGGTTTGTTAGGTTTAGATAGAGAAATTAGGACAGATTCTCTTAGGGTAGTTGTAATTTAGATCCCCACACTCTTGAAAACTGTTTTGTTTATTTTTCTGATTCAGTAAAACTACTAAGGAAATGAAGGATAAGATTTATTATTCCATTACAAGACAGATTCTACATGAAGAACAGGTCCTAATAATATAAAATTCTTTATACCACTGAGCTTAAGTTATACATTCAGCTAAAGGAAGCCTAAAAGTCCGAAGCGGTTGCACCTTCCCCACTTTACAAATTGCTTCTCAATTCAATCCCCAGTGATTTGGTTAATTACTTTCAACTTTCATAGAAGTTTAAAATCTTATGTTGAGGGTATATACACCTCCTAGACCTGGCAAACGGGTAGGTTGGGTCGGGTTTGAGTTAAGTCAACTCGGGTGATGGATTATACGGGTTGAGTTATAAATAGGTTGTTGGTTGGAAAAGTTCAATCTTAACCCGATCCTAACGGATTACGAGTTAATTTGTGAATTTATTTTATTTTCATTATTTATAATTATTTTTTATTAATTTTATTATACACATAAAATTGTATATCTAAATCTAATTAAATTATTGTGATTCATTAAAACTAAGTATTTTATAGTCTCAATAAAAAAAAATTAAATTAAGAAAAAAATCATAAAGTTATAAATAATAATAAATTGATTAACAATAATAATATTAAATGTAATATATTTAAATTTTTTGAAAAATAAAGTTTTAATTTTATTATCATCTTGAAACATTATCAAGTAGTTTAAGTTATTTTTTTAATGATGAAATTGCTTTTTTAAGAACATCTTTCACTAAATTATTATGTTTATGTTTTATCATCATATCTTTTAATATTTTTAGTTATATTATCATTTCATTCATATTATTTGGGTAATTGTTAATACCAAAAAAAAAAAATGATACTTGGATAAATAGACCAAACTCATAATAATTTCTTTATCTTTCTCTAGAAATTAAGGAGTATGAATTAATGGAAAAATTAAGGAGTATGAATTAATGGAAGGAGTTACCAATAGAAAAATTAATTAAGACTAATAAATATAATATTTAAAAAAAAAATAATAAATAAAACAAATGCGTCAAATCCGTTGACTCATGAGTTAACCCTAACCCAACCTTAATCTGTATGGATTGACAATACAAATTATTTATGGATTGCGGGTTGAGATATGTAGATTCTAATTCATTTTTACGAATCAAGTTAGGATGGAATTAATGGACTGGATAAATTTTTGCCACGTCTATACCTCACCAATCGTGCTACCAACTTGGGCATGAGAAGTCCTCTTGGTTGTCATCTTAGTGGCAGCAGGAATTTTTTCTTTTATTAAAAAAAGAACATCCCGTGTGGACCGATATATCATGCAACGAAAATATGTATTAATGTCTTCCTGAGACGAGTAAAAAGAAATTTGAGAAAAAAGAGTGGCATTATATAATTTAAATTAATAATATATATTAAAAAAATAAAAATATTAAATTCAGGTATCAGTACCCTTTGTGGTTAAAGTGTCCAGTTTCACACACTCCCATCCAAATATGGTCGATGTGGATTCAACACAACACCAATTTACGAAATTTTGTTTTGTCATATAGTCTTATTTACTAATATTTTGTGCAAAAACTTGTTGCTTGATTGGTAAGCTGCATTTCCCTTCACCACAATATGGAACTCATGACAATTTCACGTATATTATTCCTTTATCAATTGGTGCATCTTTCTCCACAACTGTTTCTATATCCCCACAGAAAACCCATTTAAGAGAGAAAAAAAACCAATTTATAAAGAGAAAATCAGTATCATTCTATAACATTTTCCAATCTACAAGATGAATTGGAGGAACAAATAAATTTTGCAGACAAATTTATTTCACAATTCCTTCTGCAGTCTTTTTTCTGCAAATTTCAAGAAAAGAATTTGATGATCCTGGTTTGTTTATTTCCATCAATTAATATCTTCTATGGGATTTCTTCACTATTCTTCAACTGGAGATGTTCATCCCCATCTTCCCTTGCAATTTCAGTTCTGTAATAGAATCTGCCTTCTTCTTCCATTAAAGAACCATTCTTGCAGCTTTTGAAGAAGATGTAACTCACAACAGTGTCAAGAACAACTAAAATAGAGTAGAGGAAAGCAATCAACATCCCCTCTAATCCCATATCAGGGGTGACCTTACCGGTGAAGTGAAAGGCTCTGACGATTCTGAAATGGAAGAGGGCTTCAATGGCGGCCATGACTAAGTTTACAGGCACAGCCAAGGATAACCCTGTTGAAGTTCTTCCCCGTATGAGTACAAAAGCCTTGAGAATTGCCAAGTACCCACCGGATCCTTCCACACCGGATAAAACCAATGCTAAGTTGCAGATGATCAGGGCATTTGCAATGATGATTGAGTATAGAACAGCTCCGGCCGCTGAAAAAATGAAGAAGAAATTGGGAGAGGAAAAGCCAAATTCTTCAAGCAAATTGAAGGCGAAGAATAGGATGCTAAAGGCGGTTGCATTTGCAGAGAGGAGGAGAAGAGAGTTGCATAAGTAGGTGATGAGGAGAGGCTGGTAGAGGGATATGAAGGAAGAGAAAGACGGCAGCGAGGGATGTTTGTATCGGTTCAAGAAATGGATCACAGAGGCTTTGGCTAGGAGGAGGAAGGAAAGGGTGAAAGGAAGAGCGAAGACCGAGGAAGAGATGGTTTGAGAGATCTTGAGGCTGAGTAGGCTGAAAAATTGGGAGGAGGGAGGGAATCCGGCTGCTTGGAAAAGAGCCTTGAGACGGAAGTATAAGGTGGGGAGGAGGGTAGATGAAGAAGAGGGGACAAAGGCTTGTGAAAGCAGAGCTGAGGCAGAGTAGGGAAGAGCAAGAAGGGCAGCGGTTGTTGTGAGGTAATGATAGTGTTGAAGAAAGGTATGGACTGATCTTCGTATGATCTTTCTTGTTTTCTCCATGGGGATTCTTGGGTATTCTTCCATTGCCATGAAGAAGAAGAAGATGAAAAAGAGCTAGAAACGTATGTATCACCAAAGGAGGGGCCTCTAAATGAGGGAAGTGTGCAAAAGCATTGATGTCTCCGCCTTTTCCTTCAAGTTGTCATGATGGGTTTTGGTATTTCTCCCTTTTTAAGGTTGGGAAAGGAGGGAGAGGTGGGTCATTTGAAGGAATAGATCGGCCAACAACTAGAGCCAACAACTAGAACCAACAAAAACTCGTAATTGTAGAGATGGAGTTGTTTTGACATTGTTTTTACCAAAGAGACCATTTTGACTCATTAGGGATTTTGATTTTGTCTTTGTGATTTTCATCTCCAATCTAATCCCAACCCAAAAATTTGACTAAAATCAAGAAGACACCCAAAAAAAAAAAAAAAACTCCCTCTTCTTAGATGTAGAATGCACATTATAAAACTAAAAAGAAATGTATCTTTGTGGCTAGCTTTTAATTTATTCCCCTGGGTTGTTGATGCAAAAGGGTTGTTTCGCTTTTTTTAACTTGTAAGTCACCCTTCTCCTTCTCTTTTGTATATTATTAATGCCAGTCTTCTTCCCATTAAATCATTGTTTAATATCTCCGATCATATAGAATAATATTAATTTCTTGTGGGAATTTTTTCATCTCTTAAAATGAAAATTCCTCTCCATGTTTTCAGAACTCGGCATCAAATTAAATTAAAAACTGAGGAAGAAAGAACTAAAAATTTCTAAGATTAACTCGAATCTTATAATTTTCAATTGACATGGTAGAAGATAACTAGTTGCAAACTTCCATCACTTTACTCTTTTTACCTCAGTACTCAATAGTAAATGACTCAAATCTTAGATTCTTACTTTCAAAGACATGGGGTGATCAAGTCATTCATACCGAAAAATTATAGTAATGAAAGAATTTGAGTTTTGACTTCATCTCCCTTTCTTATTATTTGTTTAAATATGTAGGGTCAATTACTCTTGTTTGGTCATGTTTCACATGGTTAGTAATTGATTCTTAGCTTTCAAGAAAATTTAAATAATAACGATGCAAATAAAAAGAAAAGGGTCATGGAAGAAAAGAGATCCTAAATACCAATGTATTCTCTCTTCTCAAATCAAAGCATTATGATGAGAATAGGACCCATCATGACCATTGATCTGGCATCAAAATCATATCCTTTGATTGTTGGGACCCCACCTCTTAAATCCAATGTACATCATCTCACTAATTACACATATTATTTGAGATATGCCTATTTTAACAGATAATTGAAGAAATTATATAAACAGAGTGAAATTTGGAGCTAGCCAAGCCAAATTGAAGTTTGGTGGGATGCCCTGGCAAAAAGTGGGGACTACAAAGATGATTAGGTTTTCATGCAGTTGGTGCTTAGTCCTCGTAATCTGGTTAGTTAGTTAGGGTCTCCACGTATGGTGTGGAATTGTTCTTTAATTATGTTTGTTAATTTTTATTTGTTTGTGTTGTAGTAGTTGCTCAAGTTGGAAGGATTGCTAAGAATGGTCCCGAAGACAATTGGTGAAGGGTCAATATTGTTGGGTGACCTTCTAACAGAAAATTATTGGATGCAAATGGTGGAATTGAATGAATTATTATTAAATGCCTAATAACATTAAAAAATACCTAACAACTTAATTAAGTATTTCATTTGTAATATTTTTTAAATGAAAGTAAGAGATTTTGGATTTAAGTTGCATGACACATTAAAAAAAAATATTATGAAATGAAAAAAAAAAATTGTCTTGTATAATATACCTAAAAATAAAAAATAATAATATATTTTTTTTATTTAACAATCAAGGTGTTATCAAACTAATTTGTACCAATTTTGAGTCTAATCTCTTCCTAACCTAGTTAAAAACATGTCATCTATATTAGATTAAGGAATTTATAAATAATTACTTTCTCATTATACTCTCTAAGGAATTGAATTTTAATTAATAAAATAAAAAGTAAATCTCTTTACTAACTAAACAACAACTTCTTGAGTAATAATAATAATAATAATAATAATAATAATAATAATAATAATAATAATACAAAAATGTTACCTTCAGTCTAGACGAGAAAAAAATGTTGGTTTGAGGTGAAAAATGACAAAATTATCATCGGATCTATTAATAAATGTTTTTCAATCATGCCAAACTCAGAGAATATATTATAATATTATTAATTTTTTTTAAGAACTGTTATTAATTATTTTTATAGTATAACGGCGAGATGTACCACATGTCAACTTTTGTGCATCATACTATTCTTACCTTCTTGATTATTCACATTAAATAAGATTAACTTCTAAGATTAAAGTTCTGAAGAATTAAATATCTCCTTAGAACTTCATATTTATTAGTGAGGAAAGATCTTTTGGGGTTGGATAGCCTTCATTTTCTCATATATGATGATTTTAAGTCATAATCATGATTTATGGTAGAACCTTACAAGTTCATTATCTGGAATAAATTAGCATTTAGCTGTAAAATATGCATTACCATCACTGTATTTTCTTTGGTGAATATTAGGTTTCGTTCAGGATTGTAGGTGTTTCTATTGTTTACAAAATCCAAACAATATATAAAATATTATATAAAAATATTAAAATTAATTATTATAATAAAGTTTATATTTTTAAATAAAGTGTTCTATGACCAAATGAAATCATAATTGCAACTTTGAAAGTGGAA